CCCTACTGGGGATCGAGCCCACAACCCAGGCATGTGCCCTTGACTGGAATCGAACCTGGGAGCCTTCAGTCCGCAGGCCAACGCTCTATCCACTAAACCAAACCAGCTAGGGCCATTCTCCTTTCTCTTAAGTCTTGTAAACATTTGTGCCTTCTATTTTTTAAAAAAACACCCCCAAATCTCTTCCTTCCTTGGAGTAGAATCTCATTCATCTTTGTCCCTTTAGAAAAGGTTCAATAAAGTAAATAAATCATTGGATAAAGATTATTTAGAACAAGGGAGCCGCTGGTCCCCCCTCAGCTCTGTGTTGTTCAGAATGTTCCTATTGTGTTTTATTCTGGATGGACAATTTGAGTAATACAGATCGTTGTATGTTCCTGGAAGAGGAGGAATATTCCGTATAGAGGTGGGGCAGTGTAAGGAAATTGGGTTGTTTAGACTAGACGGGAAGAGAAGATTTGAGGGACAAAGTAGCTGCTTCAAGTATGAAAGAATGACATGGAAGAAAGATTAACCTAATGCTGTATATCTCCAAAGAATATTGCTAAGACCTATAAGTGGAAGCTACAAAGAAAAGGATTTGATTTTTTAATAGCAAAGCTATGCAATAGACATTGTCTGCCTGGAGAAGAGGTAGTATCTTGTCACTAGACATGCTGTCTGAATGGTCACATGATAGGTAATTCTATAAATAGCCTTTAAGGTCTGTCCTGATCTTAAATTCTGGAAGAGCTTGGTACATATAATATATATATTTTTTAGCCCAGTGAGTTCAACCTGGGCTGTACAGTAGAATCACCTGGGAAATTTTAAGAAAAAATATTAACGCTCAGATTCCCCCCTAGGTCAGTTAAATCAGAGCATTTGGGCCAGGGTCCAGGCATTGGTATTTTTAAAAAGCTTTGCAGCCGATTCCAATGTACAATCAAATCTGAGAACCTCTGATTTAGCTGAATTGAAAAAGATGGTATGGATTTGTATTTTACTTATAGTAACTTACTGTAATTATAGCACTTGAGTTGTAACTATAGGTCAGTATAATGTAAATGCCATTACATATTGTATTTATGCTGATTAAAATTCATATGGCCCGTATTATATTATTAAAAGACAGAAATAAAATTGAATTTCAAACTAACCATAATGTGCATTTGCCCAGCATGAGGGATCTTATCTGTGGCTATTTTTTAAAATGTAGGTGTGTGTACACACACACACGGAAATTTCTTGTACCAGTTAGTAAATAAACGAATGAGGTGATTGTTGGTCTCCTTAGAATAATAAATTGGGTATTGTAAATTTGGAAAGGTACTGCATTCCCTTTTTAAGGCAACCTGGAAGCCTTTCATTTGGATATTGATCTGGGGTTCATGTCATCTTGTGCTGGGAATGAAACAGGAAGGAGTCTGTAGCAATAAAAAGAAACACTTGACATTGGGTGTTCACTTTTCCTGGGGCCACTTAAAGAAAATAAATTCAATACCACTACAAATGTTCCAGATATTTTTGTTGTTGTTGTTCCAGATATTTTTTGAATTGTTATGTTTAGTTATGCCTGTAAAAAAAAAAGAGAGAGAGAGAGAGAGAGAGAGAGAGAACGATTCTAAAGTTGTTTAATTTCTGTTCCCTTCTGTTTAACTTTCTCTTTAAAGCTATTGGTGTCAGTAACCAGAGGGAAACCACTGTAGTCTGGGACAAGATAACTGGAGAGCCTCTCTACAATGCTGTAGGTAAGCTGTTGTGCATGGATGTCAAATGCAATGCCTTTCTCCACTTGCAAATGTCATACTAAACTATCTGGCTAAAAAAAGCATGTGGTCATGATTCCTGTAATTGGATGGAATGGGCAGAAGAGTCCTCTAAGAAAATTATTGTGAGATATATACACCATTTTTAGCTATTTATTCACATCTTGAATTAACTCTTTCCCCATTTTCTGATTATTTGTATTATACAAATGGGTTGATGTTGCCAGGACTGTTTTATAATCCCTGCTGTTTCTGACACCTAAAAGAGATCTCCACTCCTCCTCCTCCCCTAAAACATCAAAATTACAAGCGTTCATAGTTATATCTCTATAAAGCATTTGTGTGCTTGGGTCTTCCCACCTAGAGGAATTTCAATAGATTCTTCTGAGGTTATGAAAATCAAAATTTTAGCTCACTTTGCTACAAACTAGGCTATTTCAGTAGGAGTTCAAAAACTCAAAAATCTCAAGTAATCATTAGATATCACATCTCATTAAATGTAAATGACCATGAGTATATTTTGTCATCACTCTTAGGACATGAAAATGGAGCACTGAATGATTATGTCACTTGCTAAAAGGAAAATTTCTTTCTAAATATATAATCACTAAAAGGCATCATTCTGTCACAAATAGCAAAGCACAATTTTTGTCAATCAAATACCAGGGTGTGGGGTGGGGAATGGAGGCAAAAATTGTCAGAGACGGGATGATTTATAGAGTGAGCTATTTTTACTTTACAGTGACTTTAGTAATATAGTTACTTTAGCATTAATTGAAAGAAAGTGATAAAAATATACTAAAAAGTTGCCTTGTGAAGAGTAGCATGAATCCTTTGGAAATAATTTTTTTATTAAAAAGTAAGGCATTTAACGTTATTGTGTTATAAGAAAGCATTTAGTATGTCTTCTGTGTTTATGATTTTTTTTAAAAAATATATTTTATTGATTTTTTACAGAGAGGAAGGGAGAGGGATAGAGAGCTAGAAACATCGATGAGAGAGAAACATCGATCAGCTGCCTCCTGCACACCCCCCACTGGGGATGTGCCCGAAACCAAGGTACATGCCCTTGACCAGAATCGAACCTGGGACCTTTCAGTCCACAGGCCAATGCTCTATCCACTGAGCCAAACCGGTTAGGGCTGTTTATGATTTTTCAAAAAGACTCAAAAACTCTTAAAGAATTGCAGCTAAAGATCCTATTACTCAAAAGTACATATTTTACATCTTTATTTTGTCCTTATTCTCATTCTGAATATAAGTAAAGCAGGATATTACCATTTTAATGGCTAGTACCTAAGAGAGTATTTTTTCACAGATCAAGTTTAGACAACTTCTTGAACTAGTTAGGGTTTTCCTTTTTTTGTTCTCCTAGTGAAAGGAAGTGGCTACTCAAAGGAGCCAGAATGTTCCTGTTAAACTCTAAACTTGAATTGTAAAAGTGCAACTTTGGACTTTGAGTTGTCATTTTTAAATAATGCAACTAGGTTAGTTGAAGTTATGCTTATAGTGAAGGATTTCAAGTAAATATGTTACCAGAAAAACTTCCTGTTTGTGATATGCTTGTTTACTCATTTCCTTGTCTTCTACCTGTGTCCCTCTGCACCCCTCCCCCATTCTCTGTGCTTTAGAGGATTAATTCCAACCATACCTATGGAATATGAAGATCTTTTTCTCTATACTGAACCAAATGCATGTTTTGAGGACTTTTTGCATGTTTAGTGCTATCCTGGGTATGTTACACAGGACAGGACTTACTGGCTGTTTTTGTAAGCTCTTTAGAATCTAGTTTTGAAAGAGACTAACAAAATTAGGGAATAGTTGTTATATTGTGTATTGCTAAGGTGAAGAGGAATTAGAGCAAGTACAGGTTAGTATGGATTTTGAATTTTTGGCATCTCTTGGGGGAAGGTTGAACTCCATTTTAGGCCTGGATGAATGTATTGGGTTACATTAGGAAAAGGGAGAATTGAAGGATAGTGTAAACAAGGTATGAAGGTGAAAATATGTATATTTATTTCACCAAAGAGTGAAGACACTGATCAAATTTGAGCCTAGAGTGGCTTATTTAAGCGTTTTAATAGAACTAACAGTGATAATAATGTTCAATAAGTGCTAACTGCTCTTACTGTTGACTAGGGATTGTGCTAAACACTTTACCCATATTATTTTATCTCAGTGACCCTGAAATAGATTTTAATAGCCTCATTTTCTAAATTAATTATGGAAAAGCTATATAACTTGTCCAATGCTGTGTAGCTATAAGTAGAGGTAAAGTCAGTTTGAAGATAAACCTCTCTAACCCCAAAGCCTGTGTTCTAATTTTGATAGATAGGGGTTGATGAAGATAGAGAGAGCCTGAAAACCATGCCCTGGGCAACATGGGGCAAAATGGGACAAAAGTGGTGGAATGGGTTATTTCAAATGCACCTGTCTGCTGAGAACATCTAGAGAAGTGGAACCAAAGAAAACCCCAAAACACCCAATTATCTGAAGGACTAGACAGCTACCAAGGCAGTGAGGAATTGTGGGACCAATATCCCGGAGAGAAGGAAAGCCCAGAGAGATGGGCCTGGCATTTGGTGTCCCTAGAGATAACTGTCAATTCAGAAAGGAGTATCTGAGGGCTAAGCAGCACTGTCATAGGTTATGAAGACAGAGAGGCAAAGGATGGAGTCAGAGGCTGCCAATGGTGGGGTAAATATTGGTAAGATCACAAACTTTTGATTGGGACTGTGGAGGGTCAATCCTAGAAGTAAAGTGAACTGAAAATAAACCACAATCTTCACAGGAATTGAAGCCCAGATTCAGATAACTTTAAACCCTGATTAGATTAAGATGTTTTGAGGTTGCTAATGCTCCTCATCTAATTTCTTTTCAGAGTGTTCATATACAATTTCTAGTCCTATCTAATAAAAGAGAAGCATGGTAATTAGCCGTACCTCCGCTACCCTTCCCATTGGCTAATCAGGGCAATATGCAAATTAACTGCCAGCCAAGATGGCGGCCGGCAGCCAGGCAGCTTGAAGCGAACATGAGGCTTGCTTGCTTCAGTGAAGGAGGAAGCCAATGTTCCCCACCTGCCTCACCGGCCTCTGAGCTGGCAGTTTGAAACATTGTTACAAATATAGAAGCTAAACAAAACCCCAGAAACCTGCTTTCAGCCAGCCGGGATCTCAGAGCTGGAGTTGAAACAGTGTTTCGATTATAGAACCCAAACAAACCAGATACCTGCTTTCAGCAGCCGAGGCCTCAGAGCTGGAGCCAAGCCTCAGAGCTAAAGCTGGCCCAGAATAAAAAAAAAAGAAAAAAAGGACAGGTTGGGAGCTTCAGTCACCCGCCAGCCTGAAAACAGCCCTCAGCCCCTCACCCAGACTGGCCAGGCACCCCAGTGGGGACCCCCACCCTGAAGGGGGTGTGACCAGCTGCAAACAGCCATCAGCCCCTCACCCAGGCTGGCCAGGCACCCAAGCGGGACCCCCACCCTGATCCAGGACACCCTTCAGGGCAAACCAGC